GTAGAGACAGGGTTTCACCGTGTTGACCAGGATGGTCTCGATCTCTTGACCTCGTGATCCACCCGCCTCGGCCTCCCAAAGTGCTGGGATTACAGGCTTGAGCCACCGCGCCCGGCCAACTACTAATTTTTTTAAACAGATGAGGTTGGCTTGGCGTGGTAGCTCACCCCTCTAATCCCAGCATTTTGGGATTATAGGGGTAATCTGTAATCTTGGGAGGCCTTGGCCTCCCAAGTAGTAAGTTTTCCTATGTTAGATAATGGCAACTCCCACTTTACCAGTTGTTTGAACAAAAAGCCCTGAGGTCACCCTCAACATCCTTTCTTTTTTTTTTTTTTTGCTTGCTCCTGTTGCCCAGGCTGGAGTGCAATGGCGTGATCTCAGCTCACCGAAACCTCTACCTCCCGGTTTCAAATGATTCTCCTGTCTCAGCCTTGCAAGTAACTGGGATTATAGGTGTGCAGCACCATGCCCAGTTAATATATATATATATATATATATATATAGTATTTTTTTGTATTTTTAGTAAAGATGGGGTTTCACCATGTTGGCCAGCCTGGTCTCAAACTCCTGACCTCAGGTGATTCACTGGCCTTGGCATCCCAAAGTGCTGGGATTAGAGGGGTGAGCCACTGTGCCCAGCCACTAAGAGCAAAATCTGATAGCTCTATCTTTGAATATATCCTGCATCTGACCACTTCTGACTACCTCTACCACTCTCACTCAAGTCCGAGCCACCCTCATGTTTCATCTGGATGTTCTTGTTTTTAGCTACCTATGTTATATGGCAACAGTCGGGACTAACCACAATTACCTGTACAGTACCTTTAGATACTGGAATTGTGTACTAAAATTACCTACTGATTTCTAAACTGGCTTTGGCTTTTGGAAACAAATTTAACCAAAAATCTTATTCTGATTTCAATTTTTAAAATCTAAAACAGTTGTTAGAGAAAGAACATCCTCAATCTTAACAAAAAAAACAAGCTCAACACGTCACATTGTACAAGATCAAGTTCAGTCAAAAGCCCCAGCTATGTCATCATTTTTCAAAAGGCTTATGTTATTTAGACAAAAATAACAATTACCTTATTTACTTTCAAACCAAATAAAACCCAGTGCTAACTTCTTTAATCTTTCTTTTTTTTTTTTTTTTGAGACGGAGTCTTGCTTTGTCACCCAGGCTGGAGTGCAGTGGCGTGATCTCGGCTCATTGCAACCTCTGCCTCCAGGTTCAAGTGATTCTTCCGCCTCAGTCTCCTGAATAGCTGGGACTACAGGCTTGTGCTGCCATGCCCAGCTAATTTTAGTAGAGATGTGGTTTCACCATGTTGGCCAGGCTTGTCTCAGGCTCCTGACCTCGTGATCAATCCACCCACCTCAGCTTCCCAAAGTATTGGGATTACAGGCGTGAGCCACTGCCCTGGCCTAATCTTTCTTTTTACTTTCTTTTTTTTTTTTGAGATGGAGTTTTCACTCTTGTTGCCTAGGCTGGAGTGCAATGGCTTGATCTTGACTCACAGTAACCTCCACCTCCCAGGTTCAAGCAATTCTCATGCTCTGCCTCCTGAGGAGCTGGGATTACAAGCATATGCTACCATGTCCAACTAATTTTTTGTATTTTTAGTAGAGACAAAAAATAGTAGAGACAGGTTTTACCATGTTGGCCAGGCCTGATCTTGAACTCCTGACCTCCCAAATAACTGGGATTACAGGCATGAGTCACTGCACCCGGCCTCTTTCTTAAAATTTTCATATATTTCTCTAGCAGGTTTTAACTGTTTTGTTAGCAGATTGGACAATGACTAAATTTTAATACATCCTTTTCAATTAAATAGGTTAAAGTTATAGTGCATGATCACAGACTGAAAGAGCTATGGAATGCATATGCATCAGAAAAACAATTTATGTTCTATACACAATCAATGCTAAATGTTAGTGTAAGGACAGATCAATTCTGCAAAATCAGAGATGGTGATATAAGCATCTGCTTTCAGTCAATGAAGGTTAGAAAGGGGCTGAGCAATGAAGAAACACTGAGAAAAATCAATCCTAATTATATATTTATAAATCACTACTAACCTACCAATAGTACTTTGTGAAAAGAGTATTTCAGCTTTTGTGTCTTGGGGCAAAAGTAATTTTCAAATTATTTTAATAATAATGGGATTACTCCAAATGTATGACAAAGACAGTCCATCGGCAGCTGGAGTTTTCCCTACTGGTCATAGCTGTGCAGAAATAGCCATGGATTTGTTTAATACATTACATTTTTAGTAAAATCACAGAGAATAGGAGTAAAGAAAAATTGTTTTGTTATTACTTGTGGGTTTGGTTTCTATTTACATTGCGAAGGAAGTGAGGAAGATGCAAGGCAAGACACTGTGATGAAGGGTCAAGAATAGGAACAAAAAAGAGGAGGGGCCCAGGTATGATGGCTCACGCTAGTAATCCCAGCACTCTGGGAGGCTAAGGTAGGAGGACTGCTTCAGCCCTGGAGTACAAGACCAGCCTGGGCAACACAGTGAGATCCCATCTCTTAAAAAAAAAAAAAAAAAAAGAGGTATGGGAGGGGGAAAGTCTGACAGTACATATGAGAGCAGAAGAGGAAAGCATGAGAGATCTGGGAGACAGGGAAGACATTTAATACTAGAAGGGAAGATATACTGACCATCACATGAAGGAGACAAATGCAAAAACATTTAAATTCAGTAAAATAGCTTCCAATAGGACTAGAACTTAACAGCTGAATAAACAGCTGCCTTAAGAAGCAGGACTTCTTGCTGTGGCAGTTTTCTAATGGAGGCTGGATGGTTTTGAAGGATTTCCTCTATGGGTAAATAAACTAGACTAGATGATGGCAAAGAAACCTCTCTGAACTCCATCATCCTAAAAGCACAAGGTTTATCATTTCTAGTTTATTTCTTCCCAGTCATGGGCCCTTGATTCTAGCCTTTTATTAACAGTTATTTCAGAATTAGAGTTTTAATATAAAGCACACATCCATGAGTCTGATTTCAGAACATAAATCTTCTCAGTTATCTATGAAGAATTAATCTCAACACTGTGCTACAGACCTCTTACTACCAGTCGCTCTCTTGATTTCGTTCAGTATATTATCTCCCAGGAACATGGCAAATAGGAGACAGTCATGAGGTAAAATGGGAAATAAAAGAACAGACATCAGCAGCTGGAGTTTTCCCTACTGATCAGGGCTATGCAGAAATAGCTACGAGGAGGGAGTATCCAGAATGAAGAAAATTTATTGGTTGATCTCCATTCTTTTAATATTGAGATCTCAAAAAAAAAAAAAAAAAAAAAATTGCTGAAAACTTCATGGGAAAATGCCCTAACAATTACAACAACTACATTTTATTGAGTGTGCACTATGTCCAGATACTGTAGTATGCACTTTATGTTTG